AAAATGTCGAAATACCTTACGCACAGGTATTTTATGGTAGATTATGTGTGTTGTGCGAATAAATGTAACAAAAAATAAACTGGTGCCACGGATACCAGTTAGTACAAAATGCCGACAGCAGACTGCAGACTGCAGAGTGGGTACAAAATGCAGACTGAGAATCTGGAGTTTTTACGTCTGGCATTTAATAATATATCATCTTACAGCTTACCGAGCATCGGTAAGTACTAAAACATGGAACGACCTAAAACCACCTAAAACCACCTACAACCACCTACAAGGGAGCTTCGTATATCTCTCATTTTTTCACACCTAGGGTCTGTCACTACAATTTGCGCTCCTCTGCTCTTAATGTTTCCCAGCCTGTAAATACCTCTAGCCATATTCATAGGTCTTTTTCATATATTATCTCTCATTCCTGGAACCAGCTACCATCTTCAGTTAGTTAATGCTACTCTAGCAGAATTTAAGACTGGCCTATCTCGCATAACTACGCTTGGCTGTAAGTGTAATAAATGTATTAGTATACAATTGTAGGGATAGGGTTATGAATTGGTAATTAGGCTTCAGGGTTAGGGCTACAAGTTAGGTGATTAGGGCTGGTAGGGTTTCAGGGGAGGTTCAGGATTAGGATTAGGGGTAGGGGGCTAGGTGATATTTTTGCGTTTCTTTTTTTCGTCATATATACATATATTTAACTTGTACATATATTTATATACACATCTGTATTTTAACTGTCGATCGTTTTCAACATGAGCCACTAGGCTCGGGGGATTGGGTAACCACCCCCTACGTTACCGACATAAAATAAATTGTATTGTATTGTAATAAAATGATAGTAAAGCAAGCTTAAAACGGCAGAAATCGCCAGAAACTACAACGGATACACAGGGTACGAGTAAGTTTTATTGATTTTACGAGAAATTTTTCATATTTCGAAATATTTGTCCTTGTAAGTCGACCATATTTCGTTCCCTATACTATTCCTTATAACGTGTTCAAATTTTCAACGGTTCCTCTCGTAACTTAACACCGAGTCACACAACGCGTGACGCGTTCATGAATTAATCGTTGGCTTTTTCTCGAGGCGTGAGCTTGGGCCGCCTGTGACAAGACAATTGCGTAAACAATACTTAACATAATAACATTATACACAAAAACACAGGATTTTGGATCATGTATTCATATCAAACTCTTTCCCCAGTGCGACGAACATTTGTTTTTCTCGGTTCCAGGTGTACGCAACCACTAACCTCAGGTAATGCGCATGCTCTCCGTTACGAATTTTCAAAATGGCGGACAGGTCAAAGAGGGAAATTAAAAAACACAAAGCGATTTTGCAATGAATTCTCAACAACACCCTCGTTAGAAAGGCGAATCCACGGAAGAAAGATACAAAACTGTATGATATTGAGATCGATATGATATCAAATCGATACCGAGGGCCCGTTTAATTGCCTTCCGCCACGATTATTAGCTTTCTTGACGGCTTTCTGAAGGCAGAATACTTTCTTTCTGAAGACTTCTGATATGCGGCTATTGATTACACCTCGTATACCTGATTGCTCAAACACTTTGTTTACGATTGTTGAAAGGACCGACTCATGGTTCTCCGTCTTCGTGTTGACATTGCTTTGAAATAGTATAGACTAGTAAGCTGAAACGAAAAATTAATCAGGGAAGTTTACGAAAAATCCAGCAAACAAGCTTTAAAAAGGCATTTATTTAGACTTCATACTTCAACGAACTTCACAAATCTTACTTGTTTATCTTGTAAGTAAACAATGGCAGATTAATTCCCGAAGCGCTTTCTGAGTTTCCCGATCCCTCTCCTACTGCTTTCACGCTTACAAAACAGGAAAAATCAAAAGGAGGAAGATACAGCTGTTTTGAAACGCCATTTGACGAAGGTAAATCTGCTTTTAGTTCGACACTTTACATATCAAAGCAAAGGAAATTTGTTCCTCTTTTTGATTCTGGCAGTACATTTTTAATTTGCGCCTGCGTAAAAGAGATATCGCCTGAGACCCTTCGCTCGGTCGTGTTTTGATCAAAAACGCCTTGTTAATTTCACGCAACCGCTCGGAGAAAAGGTAAAAATGACGAGGGAAAAAACTTTACCTTCAAGTTAGAAAATTAGCGAAATAGAAAGCCACAATATTATAGTTTAATATTTCAGAGGTACATTGAGTGCTTTTTCCGTAGAGAATCCGCACGATGGTAAAACATTCGAAAATTACACTCGATTTGAGTGGGGTGTTGAAGTGGGCGTGGTCACTACATTCATGTTAAGACTATTTGTACCCCATGAGTTTGATATGATTAAAAAAAAATATATCCATACAACTACAATGAAAACAAACATACGATTCACCTTTCTGATCTTGAAATTAATACCATTCGCACTGTTATCGTAGCTAAGTTCCCTGAAATCAAGTGAATCCAACATGGCGTCTTTCTTCACAAGCAGTTTGCATCCATTAGAGTATTGTTCTTCAGTCTCACGGTAGTAGTTTTGTTCAATAGATTGCATAGAGCATATGCAGTTTGGTTTCAGATTTCAGATTTTGCTTTTTACAACAAGTGTACGTTTTTCAACTAAGACATTGGCATACTTGGCATACCAGGCATTCAAGGCATTCAAGGCATACAAGGCATTCAAGGCTTTCATGGCTTTCAAGCGTTCGCGACTCAATCCGTTCCAAAATTACCGCTCAATAACATCTTTTAGCGTGGATTGGCCGCGAACAATACGACTTGTGTATGCGTCTGTAAGTATTTTGAGTGTTTGCGCCATAATACTCCAGGTGATCGTAATCCAAACACGTTGAAATAGAAAACGACTGACCAAAGAGTTATAAGCAAAAATCTCGTGGTTCGTCATGTGACCCGGCCCTGTCCGTGCATGACAACGTCAATCATCATCAAGATAACACGCGTGATCAGCATGTGAACACCTCATTGGATCACAGTTAGTTGTCATGGTGGTGAGGGCCCAATGACCACTAGGTACTATTGCGCTTTTTTTTCCATTTTGTGGACGACATAAAAAACAAAGGCATTCTATGACTGGGCTACCACAGGTATCCCAGTAAAAAGCAAACTGATCTCTGTTGTATCTCCAGTAAACCCTAACCAAAGATATGTTGCGACCTCGAATAAGTGAAGCTACATTGAACAAGGGAAAAGGATAATATATCAAAGAGGGCTCTTTATTGGTTGTTGCTTATCTTTGGACTTTGCCTTGTGTGTGAATTACGTGATAAACTGCAAAACTTTACAAAGAAATGACACGTGACGGAGCGAAGTCAAAGTGGAAAAATGGAATTTGATTGGTGGAATACAATTCAAGAACGCTAAAAATTGCCTGATATTCATGCAGCGCAATAACTGGGTATGCTCTGATTAGACTTTGGACGTTGTTTTCATGGTAGGTGATGGAATGTAAGTTTTGGCTTGTGCGTTGTGTTTAAAGGAGCGGAAAAATAACGTTTCAAATTCAAATTGATATAAAAAGTTAAATGCGAACCTCTTATATCTCGCCAAATCTCGACCTTAATCGACGAGAAGTCAAGCATAGGTCTGGGAGGGAGCGTACGAGTCACCTCGGACCTCAAAATGTATCTGCCAACGCGTGCCTTGATTACCATGTGCGTCCTTCCGGAGAAGAGGCAACCTCACGGTTAGGTTTCGCTTCGCTGATTTTTGTATTTTTTTTCCTTTCTTTCCCGGAAAAGTTAGCGCGAAACGGATTCTAACTGTGATTGAGGTAACAAACTGATTAAAATTACTTTCGATTAATTATCTGAAAAATTTGTGATAAGCCGAGTTGTGACAGTTGTGCCACCTGGTTAGGTAACCAAATGATCACAATAATATCACCTTACAGTTTTTACAACTACACAAACTACGTATGAAATATGACAAATATCGATTGGGATTGGCATTTTAATTTGTTTATATAATCACCGTTGATAAAACTATTTACAAGTCTTACATTCACCTTCACGAGGTGCATCTGAATTATAGGTTTCAAATATATCATCATGCATATCCTTCGTCATTTTGTTTCATTTACAAGGGGTAAATAGCGTATTCTGTGATAATATTTTTTTTCTTCAACGTTTCAAAAATCTTATGTAGACGAATTTATTAAAATTTTTGATCAACTGGTTAGTTATGAATCATAACGGTAAATCCTTGCATAACTGCTTCTGAAGAAGAGGAGTTTGTTCTTCTATCAAGGGGAAAAAGGTGTCAAAATGGTATAAATGTAGTTACCAATGAGAAAACCGACAGAGGGATGATAAATTGTCACACTTTGCTATTATTTAATCTACACAAAGGCGAAATGATTAGGAACTTAATCGATAAAAAGCGAAAAAATTACCCATACTTTACGTAGATGACTGAGGTACTTTACAATTTTACATGCTCAGCAGCAGTAATCAGTGCTAATCAAAATCATGATTTTCAATTGGATTGATATTATTGTCTCGCTTTGCTATTCACGTAAAGTCTTGAAGTCTTGATGTCGAAAGTGACGTGTCACAGTTCAGTGAGAGTACTGTGTTTGTTTCCAACCTGTTTCTGAAAGATCACGTGATCTACCCAAGGACAACAAACAAGTCGCAGATTTTTACTCTATCCTGATTTGGGACATGGAGTGCGCAGGGCGAGAGTGACGCCATTGATTGGTTTCCGTTGGTAAAAGTAAATCAGTTGTTGTAAGGTTTCAAATGCTGGTCCCTTGCCAAGACTAAAGAAAGTTTTGCTTCCTTGGCCGATGTCCTGAAATAAGACGAGCAATAACATCATGAGGATTTAAAGATAAAGTGTTAAGTCTGTATATTTCAACAAATTGATCAATAACGGGTAAGATTACAAAGAGAGTAAACCTTAATTTGTTTTGCCGGCTGGTTTTGAAGATCATGTTTAAATAATACAAATTCAATTTACTCAACTGTTTACAAAACTTAGCTGCTGCTTCTTCACAACAAACCGCCAAGATAAGTTACAATTTCAGCTCAGCTAATGCCTCTTAGGAAAAACGTTTTCTTCGCAGTAAAATAAAATAAATAACTATTAAGTTGCTCTAACCAGCTTAAACAAAAGACTGTTTAAAAACGTTTTCTCTCATGGTGCGAGCTCTTTTGTGTTCGAACCGTATAGACACACTCTCTGTCACTTCATGTAGTAAGCACAAGGACTATCAGTTACAGATATAGATCAAAATCAGTTTTTATAATAGTAACTACAAACCTGAACAAGCTGACAGTGGTAGACTTTTCTGTTCATGCAAAACGTTAACACAAACACACCGGGAACGCTGCTGCTTTCACGCACAAGGAACAACCTGCATTTTAAAAAAGATTAAGTTGCACTCATTGCTTTGTCCGATATGGATTTGATTTCAACGTAGTCGGCTCCCAGAGAGAAGTCATCATATTTAGAATTTATGTACGTGCTCAATAGAAAACGATCATAGGACTTCAGAGGCCTCTTTTTATTGCATTCAGTTTCATAAACTTAAATTTGAAGTCTCAGTGAGTGAAAATTCTTCCAAAACTGGTGACGCTAAATTGGGTGTTATTGTTGTCCATGACATTGAAATCGTTTACTTAACAAGTCACCGAGATAAAACCAACGAGAAATGATTCTCGAAATGTTTTGCGTCCATTTGTTTTCACTCATTATTTTACTTCCCACAACTTCAATGAACGCGTATTTATCGTAGTTACCGACCAAGGCAGTACCAGGACAGCAACACTGCCATAAAGTATCCTTCATGTAAGATTCCTTACCCGTCGCCTATTCCCGCAGCAGCAAGTAAGTGTAGCGAGTGTTCTCTTGTAATTCTTCCGTGAAACCACGATTCATTGACGAAATGGTGCCCTGAAAAGAAGAAATTCAATTCTGCTCAATATTTTAATATTCAAGATCATCATCATCACTTGTAACTGTTCACAAAACTAGAACTTCTGTCTTTTTAAGCTTCAATAAAAGTGTGTGAGGCAAATCGATTGTTGCTAAGCTTTGGAACATTTTAAGCGAAAGTGAAAATGTCATACCAATAAGACAAAGCAAACCTCCTGCACCACATACCTGAAGTAGCGGTGTGAGTTGAAATGAAATGTTGAGATGATATTCGTTTACTCAGTTTCTGTGAAAAACAAAACATCAACAATTAAAACCTTATATTACAGTCTATAAACTTTAGAACCCAGGCCTCTTTAATGTCGAAAAGTTTAGAGGCCGTTCAACTTGATTCCTTCAGGTTATATTCGTAGTTTCCGTTTTAACGCAGAGTCATTGCGGTGAATAACATCAAGTCGAAAGAGTAAATGAAAAAATAAAAACCATTTTGTGAGTGACAAAGAATGGAGTTTGACACGTACTACGTTGTTTCTTGTGTTAGCCAGTTGTTGAATTTCGTTTAAATCCGTAATGACTTTTCCTCTTTCACCGGTGAAATCCATTGGAACTCGTCCTTCCTTTGTCGTCTCTTTCATGTCTTCGTCTTCTTTTTCGCTCGAGGCGTTCTACAAATCAAAATGTTATTACTTACTTTTATTCTTTTATTCTTGTAGACAGGTCGTGCCAATCATAAAAGGATGTTACATCGTACACTAAAAGTTTGTTCTCTTGGGGAAACAGATTAGTTCTTAAAGAATCCCGGGTAGTGCTGGCAGAAAATATCCAACGAAGAATTTAAGACGTTTCAACAATATCGGATAATTTCCGTCACAGTAAGGCTATGGTCAAATGTGGGTCGTTACGAGGTTAATTCACAGTTTTATCACTCATCCACTCAAATTCATCTCTCATCCGCTCAAATTCATCTCTCATCCGCTCAAATTCATATCTCATCCGCTCAAATTCATCTCTCATCCGCTCAAATTCATCACTCATCTGCTCAAATTCACGATTTCATCACAAATCGCTAGACCTTCATAAATGAATATTGCTAATACTGCATCTGGGTTTCTAAATGAAAGAACACCATTAGTTATGTATATTGTGAGTGACATCTTTCAATTTTATATCTTTGTTGTTAATTTCGATTTTTCTATCTTCCGTTTTCTTCACCTTTACAAAATTCAAAAGCAATCTAGCTTTACCAATTTTCCTTTTTAATTACACTTTTTTTACTTTTTTACTTCTTTGCACACATGCGGTTTACGCTGATACCCAAACAAAACTTCTTGTGACTTCTGATGGCTTATAAATATGCTAATGATTTTTCCAACTGTTTACATAGACTAGACCCTATGAGCCATCAAAAATACTTGGAAGGGCTGCTTCAAATCTAGAGAGGCTTTCATAAAGAAAGTTTGCGCCCCATCGCAGAATCTTTGTAAGTTTTGACAGGTCCTTTTCAAACTCGTCAACTTTAAGTGATACTGTGCTGCTATTAGCAAAAGTGTCAAACATTTCAAAAGTTAAAAAAAAAACAACGACAACAACAACAAAACCATGTAGGCCCTACTATTAAGCCAAAGAACACGAAAGGTATAAACACGTATCTGGGCGCAGAAAATAACCGCAACTTAATTCTCTTAGGGCCTATTTACACGGCACGACTTTGTCGCATGCGACAAGCTTACGACAGGCCTACGACATGACTTAAGAGTCGTAAGCGAGTTGTAGGTTTGATTTACACGAAACAATTCGTGTCGTAAGCCTGTCGTAAGCTTGTCGCATGCGACAAAGTCGTACCGTGTAAATAGGCCCTTAAGCAGACTCCATTTAGTACATTTATAACTGAGATTTTCCGTTCAGTGATGGTTCAAAGTTGCCTAGCGAGTCGTTCGACTTCCCGTCACCAAAGAAACATAACTCGAAAAGAAAAACATCTGATTATTGCATGAAATCCTGCAAATACAACTATTAAAGTACAGAACAATAACTAAACTATGTTCTATTAGAAGACATCAAAATGAAAAGACAAGGCGTATGGAATTAATTACTAAACCACAAATAATTACCTTGAATAGCACAATTATATATCTCCGACTGGGAGAAAAATGAATTATCAGTTCTTACAAGTGTAAGTTTTCTTCCGAAGGAAATAATAGCCAACGACCGATCAAGACAAAACCTTGTGTCTTTGTCCGTATTATCTGCACAGGACATCAAAACATACCAGAAGAAAAGTTTTCAAACGTTTCTAGGGTTTAGCCCTTATTATATGTGAACACTGCAGCAATATTTGGCGGGACATGCTTCACACATTACGTCATTTTAATATTTTAAAACAAGCGCATATGACATGAAACCTGGCTTTAGCCTTTATATTCCAATATATTGCAGATATTTATACATTTCAGCGTGAGAAACATCCATTTCACCCCATAGCCTTTGTCTTTTCTTTACCTAACTACAGATTCGTTTTATTTTGTTCAAATATGAAAACACTTTAAATAATTGTAGAGCGAAAATAAAACTTGACAGCGAAATTTTCGCACAGCCTCTTACTTCATTATGCATACAGTTCCTGAATAAACAGAACAATAGTGAAAACAATAGATTGCCTTTAGGACTACGGCTTTGTTTTACAATAGTATGGAATTATAGAATTTGACAAAAGTTTTTGGAAAGACTTCCGTATAAAAATACTACATACGAAGGAAAACGACACCTAATGGAAAGATTTCCAACCAGACACTGAATTCATAGTATCGACCGTGTCAATACCAGAATTACAATATTAGTTGTTGGAAGTTTATTCGCATGCACTAAGTTAGAATATGAGTTCACGTTTCTGTTAAGTTATTACTTGATAATTAGGCTAATTTTAGTCATTTGTCGCGTCCTAAAAACTAATCCCAGGTATGGTACATTTCCAGTGTGCATGCTTTCGAGAGTTACAGATGAGGAAGAGTTCTAGGCAATTTTAGTCATTTGTCGCGTCCTAAAAACTAATCCCAGGTATGGTACATTTCCAGTGTGCATGCTTTCGAGAGTTACAGATGAGGAAGAGTTCTAGGCAATTTTACAACATATTATATGTCCAAAACGTTAACTAGCTATCCTATGGGGAAGGGAAAACCGAAGACAGAAACCAGATCAGTTTATGATTTCTTACAGCTTTCACAAAATAAGTGAGGACAGAGGTCTCTTAAATAAACGGAGATGAGACGAGAATGCAATTTTGTTGAATTATCACAATAATGTGCTAATAAAAACTTCAATCTCTGTAGCAACCCCTGAGGGAATTACTACCCGCGACTAGAACAAAAAGCCATATATTTAGCATGTAATCAATAATGCTTGGTACAATTCTGCGGACAGGCTGAATCAATACTCTCTGATATTGGACTGGTAACTTAAGACACTTATCAACCCAAAGTGTACTTGTTTAGCTTCTTATGCCTCAATCTGTACTTGCATAAAGCCGGAAAGGTAACAATGCTTGTTGGCTGGTTAAACGCCGCGGCAAATAAGTTGCTAATTAAAAAGAACTACATCTTAATTAAAGATTACCTTGACATGGGCCTTTTTCCAAAACAATAAAATGTGCTGAAGTCAATTGGAGTTTTAAAAAAGATCAGAAACGTGAGGCGCAATGTCTATTAAGAGTATAAGGAAGGTAACCTCGTGTTACATTCCTTAAATAATCTTTCAGGCGCCGTGGAAAGTCATGATCGTGTTAAAATAATTCCGACAGAATCGCTATGTAACAGACGACTTACCTGACTTTCAGATGTCTGTTCGCGGTACTTCGTTAACTTGGCAAACTTTCGTATCATGTCGTCGTAATTTTGTCGGAGTTGAGGTCCAAACTGAAAGAAATCAATAAAGTGGTCCGTGTTAGGGCCTTTCTGGTAAATTCACTGTGATGTTCATCTGTTCCACTTCATTAACTTCCGAACAATAATCAAAATTTATGCACTCCCTTCTCCTTTTTTTATAATTTGCATGCTTCAAGTTACGTTTTCATCAATTCTACCACTCTGCTGGATTTTCAATGACTGCGCTTTTGAAAACATACTAAACCATCATCTAAAACCACCCGGAAAGACCACTGCACAATGAGGTGGGAAAGACATTCGAGAAACAGATATCACAGATCTTACCAAAGAATGCAAAAATTCTTAGCTCAAGAAAGTGTCTAAGAATATTTCAGTGTTTATTCGTGAGAGAAAAAAACAAAAGTTGTTAAAGAGTTTAGAGGGTCAAATAAATATCTTGAAGTAATGAGGAATAAATGAGTTCATACGTCATACTACTGACGAGGGGTGCTGACCAGCGTGCAAAGCTGTTCCGCGAGAGATAAGGGAACACTTGTAAGAACTGGCTGGTCGGATAATGACTTGATTAAGGACTGTAAAAACAAATCTGTTTTCATAACTTCTTTAACACTCAACTGTAAATGAATACAACGGCACACATATGGTAAACACGGACTTAGGAACGTTTTGATGACGCCGTTTGCACCTTACGTCTGTGCAAAAAATTGGCGGTCATTTACACTCGGTCCCAAATTTGTGAATTTTGCTGAAAAACAAAGAACTACGAGAGGACGCAGCTGTTGCCGTAAAAAGTCACGGCTTCATCAAAAGATTCTCTATAAGAAGGTTACAGTAACTGACTATCCGGCACTACAACCTGCATTGAAACTTATTTACATCTTAAGAAGTCATCCTTACTTTAGAGATTTGCCTGCCCAGTCTCCAAAGACAGCTACGAGCAGATAAACGCAGTTAAACTGCGAAGTTTTGCGTTTAAGAGAAATAGCTACGAAAACCTTTAAACAAAACCGACGGCAAAGCCGGAAAGGCGCGACGCTGCGCAATAATGAACTAAACGCCTTGAACAGGCTCAGCACAAAACTGACATCATAGCCAGTCAGAAAACTGTATATTAGGTTCTTCTGAGATGCCTCTCTCTTACAAAGCTAAAACCCTATACACACATAAAGTTTTCAGAGTAATAATCGCCAAAACAGCGAACAGAGTAACAACAGAGCTGTGTTATCTTATAAAATCACTAAAATTCTTTGCTACCTTTAGCCGAAAGCTTCTTCGACTGTGACCAGCAGCGTCAACGGCGCTTGTACACATCTTTACAAAACACTCGAATGTAATGAGTATGCCACCACAGACTATAATGGTAAACGAACTGTGAGTGGATCGACTTGAGGTACTGAAGATTTTAAGAGTTGTTTAACACGGGAAGTTGACAAGCACACTTATATGACGTCGCGTGATGAAAATAGATGGAAAGTTCAACTCGAGGTCACCTTATCATCATTCCACTAACATCTTATGCGAGAAATGGACAAATATCATGAGGCACCGACAGCAAGTAAACTGATAGTTTGCGCGGCTCAAGAGTAACCTTCAATAATGATGCAAGTAGCTTGCCACACACTCAGTAATTAATAAAACAGTGCCATTGTTTCATAATCATCTCAAGAAGAAAGGAAGGTTCTGATAGACCTAGTTGAAGCCGAATAACGTGACTGAACAAGATTCTGTCTACGGTAAGGTGGGAGGGGAGATTCCCACATAAATGTTTCTAAGGTAACGGAAACAGAATCAAATTAATAAGGTAATCCGCCTACTTTTAAGCTGCCGGGCAGAATTTTTAATGTTTTATTTCGAAGAGAGAAAAACACGGACCAAATTTTGTGTCTCTAAGTTTACCGTAGGGCGAAAACGGCGACATTACACAGGACACATGTCTTGAAAAACAAAGAAAAAGAAAAAAGAAAGAGAGGGAAGACAGCCAAATCTCGTCAAATAATTCGGTTCCTGTTTATTGTGCAGCCATGGAGTCTTCTTAGCAGTGACAACTGAGCTGTAACACGAAACAGCTAAATAGCAATGTGGCTTACGTCACTCCTGAAGAAGCTTACAGCGTTCAGGCTATAAAAGTCTTTTATCTGAGAAAGTTTTACTCGGCCTAATTGGATTAATTGTGAACTCAAACTGGCAGTGTGATGAAGACGATGTCATCTAATCCTTATAGCATAGTTTTGAGGTGAAAAAGGCAACTACATCTAAAAAAAACCAAACAGTGCTATTTTCACTATAAAAGGATAAAACCGATGTTATTTCTGTCCTTTCTAAATATTAAGACAAAACAACGTCTCAGTGAACTTAAAAGGAGAAACCCAACCTGTCGCCGCCACAAGAGTCTCGGCTTCCGTAACAGTCTGACCAAGTATTGGTAAGTTGCTTTATTTGCATGATCGCAAGTTTATTTAAAGAGTATTGCAAGAGTGAAATTAAACTGATTCAGAAACAAATATCGCTAATAGTGCTCTAGTGTTTCATAAATTGAAGCTTAATTCACATCACCTTCATGCGATAATAACAATACATCACAGATACTCTTACTCGAGGAAATATACTTGGTAGAGAAAGTTCAAGTGGGATTGTGGGCCTTACGTTTTATTGTGAGTACTTCTTTCGTCTCTAGGTGATTACAACTCAACTAAATAACCAACAATAAAATTCTCTCGCGATAACAACTCTGTGGCATGTGTTACAAACATTACCAATTTCGCTTTCTGAAACAAATTATGTTCAATTCCCATCTCTCTCTATTAAGGACGGTACAACTTTTTCGGAAACTTTCGGCCCAGCTCAACCACCATTGTAAAATTATGCTGCTCTGTGAGAGCTTGCTTCGCGGTATGTGAACCGTGTAGACCTTTCATGAATTATACAGGTAAACAGTGAAATCGCCTAAAATAGGACTACGGGCCACCTCTTTTAGATAGAGATGACATCCTCCGATAATGAATACTGTACTAAATTCGATCAAATTTACGTCTACGAGTACATACAGCAAACTTTACACTCAACAGAAAACTCAGTAATTTCCAAGATTTGTTTGCCGAGTGGCTCTTAAAAAAGCTACGTATGTGCTCTCCTAAAAAATATTAAGAATTCAGTGTTATTGGCAAACACCCAAGCTTGCTATGCAAACATTTCTTTTAAGAAAAAAAGGAAATACGTCTGTTTTACCTTATCTGGGTAAAACCGAACGGTAACCACCAAGTAGAAAGATATCCGGGGTAAATTCACTGCTATTAATCATCTCGCGTGCTTTTCCTTCCCAGAGGAAGAAGTTTTCACATCGTTTAACAAATGTCGTTTATCCGCAAATAATCAGTTTAACTCATCCCAATGAGACCAATAACCCATGCAATAACTCAACTTGTCAACCAAATAAGCACTGCAAGCAACGCAATCACACTAACGTCACGTGACATTTCATTCCTTTGACCTACGTGTGTCTACAAACAGTTAATCGACGACTGTCCGGCTCAGTGAGAGAGAATCAACCAAACTGGTCTTATCATATAATTCCAATGCTCTTTAAAATTAACTTTGCGGGGCGAATAACTTGTCCTTCGATATCAAAATCGTCGCGATAATTTTGTCTCTCTCCTCCGTCTCTTGGTTTGTTGCCATCTTTGAAATTAACAATAATTAAGTGTTGACTTAATTTTTCATCAAATGACAGACAAGGAGCGTCATAGTTCAGAGGGTGACTCTATACGATCGTTACTATGGGCTACATCGGGTCAAAGTACGATCACAACTTGACAATTCGCACGCAACATTTGTTACAAAATAATGATACCAACCTTAGCAATTCTGACAGCCATCATCCAACTCATCATTGTTTTCTCATCATCAGTGCAAAGACACTTCAGCTCCTTCAGCTCTCGTGCCCTATAAGGCTGACAGAAATGTGCAACAAAGGACATACTAACAGAGCATGGCATTGGGGAGGGGAGGGAAGGGGAGGGAAGGGTCAATCCTACAACACTATTTCTTGTTTAAGGCTGGTCTCGTTGCTTAGAGCCGATAAAGTTCTTCATTAAGGTAACTTGTCTGTCATTGATCCAATCACGTAAACCCTTAAACTCCCACGATCTCATTTTTTATCCTCCCCTCTAGCGGCTACACATTTCTTTGTTAAGTATCCCTAGAATTTGGTGTTAGATCAAGATAACTGACAACTTCTATCTAACAAGTTTGAGTATTGTCTTTACCTGCTTGCTGGATAATGTATGCCTTGGATATTATATGGTGAAGTTATAAGTAATACATACCACTATACAAAAACAGAACTCTGCTGGCGCTTTGTGAGACTTTTTAGGATTTATAATGTTGTACAGGTTTGCTCCATCAAATTGAACATAACATTCCAAGTCTTTAGAAGCCTAAATGGAATGAATAGTTATTTACATCAATTTGCAAAACAAGTTGTGGCAAGCAAGTAATAACAAAATCTTAAAACATTATCAAGTGATTTGCTTTCTGCAGAATGGGAAATTTTCAGAACAAAAAATTATTGACTGCTGACAAAGTTTGCAGAAAATTTCAGCCACATCATGTACTTTGTTAACAAATAAATAAAAGGGAAAAAGCATAACCTTTAAATTTATAGTTGATTAAAACACCGCTTTAACACTTTGATAACTGTTTGAAAAAAAAACAAATAATCCATTCAAATCAAAAGTATGATTACCTGAAATCTAAAAAGGGAAGAGTTATAAAGTTAAAAAACGTTATCAAATTTTGGGGTTTGTTTTCACAGGATATTGAACAGTGATATTTCAAATGGTGATTTAGGATTTTTACACAAAGGTTTAAAGAGGAAATGTTGTCAACATGCCAGTGACACCTGCATACCTTTGACTTTCCTTTACTGGAAGAATAAAGACCTGATCCCCTCAGGAAAAAGAATTTCTTGCTCCATGACTTTTTCCCAAAATCTTTGCAATGTAAAATCCCCTCTATTTGTGGGACTCTGGTACAGGTACTGAACAGTTTCTACAGGAAAAGAAAAAGAAATCAGAGAATACAACTCTTCACATCTATTATCATCTGGGCAAAGTTATTAGAGGCATATTATGCACTATTACAGGCTTAGCTAACATTGTTTCTTTGTAGTTTCTGTGTACTGTGAGCCCAATATTGGTGCTTATTTTATTCACTACAAAATAAACAACCTTTAATTGATTCAGCCCTAAGGTATTCAAGTTAAATGGTATTAGTCTTAAATGATGATTTATTGGTTCATATTTATCTAATATCAATGATCATTTAAAGTAATGATGGTCAGGTTGCTATCTACACAATGCTACAGTAAAATCTGTCGTTACATTACAAGAAACGCAGAACAATATTTACCTGTTGTAAGATTGTCTTTGCCTTCTGTGCTTTCTCTGTGACTGCTTTGTCTGAACTTTCAGAGTCCAACAAATGTGATGGGAAATAATTCTGCCAATAATTGAACGCATGTTCCATTTATAACTGAAAGTTTTTGGATATTGAGGTAATGAGGGCTTGGAGGCTTGGTGCAAAAAAAATTAAATTAATTTTTTTCTAGAAATAATCCTGTATATGCTTATACAAATAAAAGTCAACTTACAGTTGTGTGTGCAAAGAAGTGGTACTTTCTAAGATCTTTTCTAAACAACAACTTGTTGTTTGAACCAGGTGCCCATGTTTTCAATATGGACATTAAATTCTCATGATCTTCTAAGTTACGCTCTGGATAAAAAGAAAAAAAAACAGAGTTCAATGAAGCTAAAAAGTTAATAGCTTCAATAAAATTGAATTCATTGGGGCCAGCAAAACATGAGATAGAAAGCAATAAAGTAGCCAAAGAGTGTGTTTGTAAATCTGACCAGTGCTAGCTGAAACGACCTACTCCTCAGAACTCATTACAGGTCATTATAAAAACAACCAGATGAATGATTTTCATATTACAAGAACTTTTCATTATAATTTTTTTATATTTATTGACAGAAAAATTATGGGGAATGTATCTCTAATTAATTATTCACAAAATTTCTCTTTCATTTCATTTTTTTAGATCACACTTGAGAATGACTTTATATTAACAAATTTTATGTCACTTACCAATGCCTAGGTCAGTCAGATATTCTGTCAGCACCCACTGAGGATCATCCTCAATTTTTTTTAATATTGCTAGCCTGTAACAGGCTTCCTGAGCCCTCATAGCAGATGAAACTTCCAATCCAACAGGATTGCCATCCTCATCAAAAACTACCACTGTTATGTGCTGTAATAAAATAAAAACACAGAAACCTCGTAGTTAATCAATTACACTGGATAAGGGGAAGGTGGGTGACTAGGGTATCCATATGTATAACCAGTCTCTAAGTATAATATTACCACCATGGCTGGCAAATTCCTAAAACAGGACCACAAAACCTTAGGCATTCTCTGAAAATGATTGGATCAATGGAAGGACAGGAAAGTAGGTGGGGTGGGAAAAATATCTGGGACCAAACTACACTGACCTGCTGAAAAAAAATAAGCCACACATTTACCTATGTACTGCCTGTACCACTTTCTTTATGGTATATTCTATATATTTCTTTGATAGGTAATAGCGTTCCCTTTTGATTGCATTTCAACATGTAAAATGAATCTCTAGAGAGGTAAATTTACCACATTAATTGTTGGCAAGGATTCTAAGCAGTTGAGGGTAGTAATATACAATGAAAGGCAGGAGTCAGGAGGCAGAGGGCCATGAGAGTATGGGAGGCAGGAGAACGTGTTACGGGAAGTGGGAGGCTGTGACCCCCTCCCCTTCTCTCCCCCCTATTTCACCAAGAACTATTCAATATAGATAACAGATAACACACTATCAATTAAATCAAGAATAACAAATTAGAGGGGAAAGGATCTTGAGCAACAATTAAAAGTATCTCAATAAAACCAAAAATCAAAGTGCAATTTGATATGATGATGACTATAATTTCAAACTAATCACCTGCATTTTAAGTTTTTCTTGTGTTATGCATTGCTGACTGCAGTGCACCATTCCATTTGTTGTGGCACCAGACTTTTCAGGATTGTGTCTATTAAAACCAAGTTCACTGGGTGCAACATAATGATTAGGCTTTGCTTTAGCATGGGAAGCTGCATTGTGATTGGGTGCAGCATTCTTCTGAGCTGAAGCAGTGACTGAACTTTCATCAATTTTTTTGAAACTTCCTTGCAACTCCACACTTAGGGCAACCTCTTTGAAAGCCTCTTTATAACCACTCCTATTTGGTGGAGTGGTGTACTGATTTTCCTGTGTCTTGTTTACAGAACCAGAGTTTGAATTAAGTGGTTGTTGGGGAGAAGTGTGAGCTGAACTGACTGCTCTTTCCATTAAGCCCTTGTCACGACTTTGATTGATGGTGCTGGTAGGTGTTACGTGTGAAGATGATCTTCGACGAGGAATAAGACACTGATATTCATCATCATCAAACTCATCTGTGTCAGCTAGCAAGAATTCCAAATGTACACCAACTGTAATGAAGAAAACAGAATCTGAGTTCACACTTTTTTTTCACCTACAAAGACTGAACATCCACGATCAAGCCCATTTCTAGTGAAATGTCAGACACTTACAGTTTTCATTGTCTTCCACTTCACTGGCAACAGCCTATAATTTAGCAAAAAGAAATAGTTTAAATCATGACAGTAAGGAGCAGAAGAGTATCCTTTATTTTACCACACACTAGGCAAAGATAATTTAATTGTAATTATGACCTCCAGAATCATCAGAAGATAAAATTAAAATTAAATACATGTAAGATCTATTTATTCAGAAGTATTTCCCAACCTGGCCTGGCTTTATTTCACTTAAAAAGTTACTGGTAACACATATCATCAAACTTTCCAAGTTAACAGCTAGTTATCCTGTAAACTATTGATGTTATAACTGGCCATAGGGAATCTTGGACAGAGCTAAACAAGGCTTAAAGCTTGTACTAACCTTTCCATCATTTTCTGTGACACAGGCATCCAATTCACCAATCAGGCTTCCCAAATTTTCCAAAACGCGATTGATATCTGTTGGATCATTGCTATCTCTTGCAGTGGCCATAATTAAATGTTCCAGGGAATTTTAAACTGAAGTAAGAGCATTATGCAGATGAAACGTTCTTTGAGAATTGACCTAGAGCTAAATTCCCTTTTGTCATTCACTGTGTAATCACATGACCTGTGAAAATATGTACAGGAAAAACAAAGAAAACATTACATGTCACACTAAATGTCTTTTTTACAAACATATGTGTCTGTTATTACAGTATCATAAATGACAAAATTACCCTAAAAAGGTTTTATTACAATTAAAACATTTAAGTCTGTTCTATGATCAAGGAGAAAAAAAAGTGGAAAGACAGTCTGTTTTAACATAGTAAGTAATAATTACTGGTAGAGGAGATCAGAGGTTTCCTCATATTAAAAGTAAATACGGAGCAACTGCAGAATACACAGCCACTTTGGTCCACCTCATTTACATGTGTCAGGAGGCTTTGAAGATCGAGGCATAACACAATAAACGTTATTCTTAGTAAATGACATGTAAATGAGTGGCAGGGTGTTCTGCAGCTTAGCCGTAAATATAAAACAATAGCTGAAAATCAACTATACAAAATTGTAGTGTGTATAACACATTTGTCAGTTGCGACAAATCCCACTTTTGTAAGCTTAGCCAGGGACATTCGTGGGATCCATGACACATTTTAAGCCGAAAAATTAAGCAGCGAAGAACAGACATTGAAACATTACAAATTAACACTTCCAGTTACTTTAAGTTGATCCGGCAGAGCAAACCACTCATCAAAACTGTCTGGTGCGTTTTAAAATCGCCTTTTAATGCAAATGAATATATCAGATTTTAACAAGAGATGTACTCGATCTGTAACAGAAAAGATAGTTAACTATCTGATAATCTTCAATTTGAAGATTGTCTCCACAGAAACACAGCCAGCAAAATCTTCTCTGTCTTGCTTGAGTGTACCGAATGTAAAATTTTTGTATTTAGGTCACTACGTACCTTTACCAACAGGATATGTAACAGAGAAAGAGAAAGATGCTGATGAGAGAAACACCTCCTGCTCCACACTCGTCACTCGACCATAGTCAGGCAAATATTTATTTTCTTTCCGGTAATCATTTATAATAATTGACACAAGTTAGCCCACGTTTTACAGCTTGACAGCGGTAGCCTTACTACATAAATAAATACTATTTTTTTGTTCAAGGAACGCCTGGTAGGTTTTCAACAAAACAAGATATGGCGAGCTCAGAGAGGAGATATTTTGCGAACAGATTTCAGGATCGTGACGGACAAACAATTTTGCAGTATTCTGAAGGCAAGGTAGGTAGATATGACGTAGAATATTGGCTTACAAAGTGAGAGGTTCCGAAGAAATAATAAGAGTCTGATTTATTAAAGACAGCAAGAGAAAACTACACTTTGCTACTACCTACCAAAAAGGTAAGATTAGCGATGAAAAGTATTAGGGACGATTAATACTCTGTTTATCGTTCTCCTCCATGTGCTCGGGCATTTTATAGGTGTTTTTTTGTCAGTAGATTAGTGACCCTCTTTACTCAAGGATAAGAAGTGAAGCTCACAAATTGTTGAAAAAATGCGAGGAAGGTTTTGAGCGCAGCAAAGATGATCGTGATTGTTCTGTCTACACAGGTACTGCAGGTAAGATGAAATATTAAATCGCGTTAATATAAACTAACGACCGTTTTCAGGATTCTACATTTTTGTTTGTGTCAGCTGGAGATTGAATATGTTTTGTACATGTGAAAGTTAGGCGACAACTCGCACTTACAGCTTGATGAATTAGACGTATGACTGTACTACAAAAAGCTCATAACTAAATGTTGACAAAATTTACAGATATGTAATAAAGAGAGGAGTACCGTTATCGGGTTCTTTTTACATTTGTAGGTATGGCCCTTCTGTACATGCATTTATCAAACACTCTTTTCAAGGAAGATGATAATGGAAAGCAGGGATGTTTAAAGAGTGCTTTGAAAATCCTTGAACATAGCCAGGATAGTCTAAGAGGGAAGAGGGTAACATTTATTTGTGGAGATTCTGGTGAGAACCGTTGATGGAAGGAATATTTAATATGTCCATTTACAAGTTGGTTAAACCTCATTTATTCTGAATAAACAAACTAATGATAGAATGATTCTTAATTTTGACAGTTCATAATTGGGTTTACTAAACTTAAAATGAAGTTTAACCAGTTTCAGCCCTAATTGTTTGTAGCAGAATTGGTAAAAGTGAAGAACAGTTCCCAAAAGATACTTTTGGCCGTCTGTCGGCCAACAGTCAGCCGGCTGTTGGCCGTCTGTCAGCCGACTGTCGGCCAATGGTCAACCAACTGTTGGACAACAGTTGGCTGAGTGCAGTATTTATCACTGACTAAAATTATTACAGTTATTACTTTAAGTTATCACTGACCAGACTGGATTACCACAGACTGTGAGTGCTGAAAGATAACCTGCCTCTCAGGGTCTCTCCTTTTCCCAATCCTCCAGAGTGAGAAATGGGGGGGTCAGGGGAGAAAAAAGATGGTGGCATCACTTTGAATACTGGTAAATAAATGTAATCTTGGTGATATGAGGTGAAAGTGAAAATTAATTATTAACAATGATCTATCTTGAGAAGCCAGTTTGAGAGAATAATTTTCCATTTAATTTCTCTCTGCATAGGTGTCCTCTCCATGCTTGCTGTTCTCTACTCAAAGATGGGTCTGAAAGATAAGAGTGAGGAATGTCTCTCCAAGCTGTTAAGTCTGTCAGATAATGTGTGCAGAGATCCTTTACTTCCTGACGAGGTGCTTTATGGTCGAGCAGGGTACTTATTTTCATTGCTGTTTGTGCAACAGCACTTAGGAGATGAGAAGATTAATGCCAACGTAATTAACCAGGTGAATAGTTAGTCTGCTTATCAGTTTTTATTGTGAACCTAGTAATGATATCATAGTGCTGTGGAGATACTATCTAAGATTACTGCCTTGATATATAGACAGGTTACCCTATGAGTTGCTGAAAACTGAAGCTTCAGAGTACTTATTTGGGTTACCAGACTTATAAAACTGTCACAAACTGCACTTGTCAGAATGTTTACTGAACTACTTTTCACATCACAGGAAGCCTCATCAAAGGCATTCTTCTGTTTGGTTTGGTACATAGATCTGACATTTCTGCACTCGTTATATCTATATTACTACCTCATTTTGTTTTAAGAGCTGACTGAACTTATTATCTACTATAAAACATTTCATTCTGTATCAACTTTAACTTAATTTGAAGAACAACAGCTCACTGTAAACCTGATTGGTCACACCCACACATAGGGATTTTCAAGGCCAAGGAGAAACAGTTAAACATTTAAATATTCCAAAAGTAATGAATATAGATTTGCATTAAAAATGTCAACTTGCATGTAACCCAATCAGTCAACTATTTACAGAGTTGGATAAAAGTTGAAGTCTACCCTCTGGCTAGACAACCTCATGTAATAAGTAAAGTAATAATGAAATTAAGTGCTAGTAATATCCATTTTGAGATAAAGTACATTTTGATGAAATGCCATGACACTATAGGTCTGTCAAGCTATTTTAGATTCTGGTGAAAGGCTTGCAAAGCAGGAGAGAAGTAGGTCACCCTTAATGTACACATGGCATGACAAACATTATGTTGGTGCAGCACATGGTATTGTTGGAATCCTGTTCATGTTACTTCAGGTAAGTATGGCTTTAACTTCTAGAATTACACTATAGTTGCTACAGTGATCTCGTGATGTTTTCTTGGACTTTTGAAATCTATTTAACTTACTTAAATCTCTCCACAATGGCTGGCTTGAAGACAGAAGAAAGTACCCGTTGTAGAAAGGTGGGCATTCTTGAGAGGGAGGAACATATCTAAAGTGAAATGAAAGCTGTTTTTTTTTATATGTGTATAATTTTTGCAAGACTCTGTCAACCCAGTCAGTAAAGGCTAACTTGGGAAACATTGAGAGCTGTGTTGAGTTTCTTGTGTCAGAGCAGTTTTCTTCTGGTAACTTTCCCTCATCACTGGAGAATGACACTGATAAGCTCATCCACTGGTGCCATGGAGCTCCTGGTGCAGTCCACCTTATGGTCAAAGCATACCAGGTATGTTCTTCTCGATTGACCTCAATTGTTTGTTTGGTTGTTATTTTTTTTAATCTTATTGAGTCAATTTATTGAAAACTATCTTGCTACAATAATTATTGAGAGTGGCCATTTTCACCAACAGGTCTTTGGAAAAGACAAGTACTTGAGTGCAGCTGTTAAGTGTGGAGATGTGATTTGGAGGCGAGGTTTACTAAAGAAAGGCTATGGCATATGCCATGGTGTGGCAGGGAATGCTTATGCCTTTTTGTGTTTATACAAGCAGACTGGAGATTCTAAGTACCTACATCGTGCCCTGAAGGTGGGTTGAGGCATTGAGCACCACTGATAAGCCTGATTGAGCTTGTGATTTTTAGACACTTTCTCACCATCAACAAGGACTCTATAGATGCTGTGTAATCTATGGCCAGTTTCAATTGACAAGAAAATTTGAATTTCATCTAAACACTGTAATTCAGGTTTGACCCACAGTGACCCAGCCTATATAATTTGAACAATGCAAAAATTGTCTTAATTGTTGTCATTGCTTTTGTTTAAGTTTGCTGAATGGTGTTTTGATTATGGCAAACATGGTTGTAGAAGTCCAGACCGTCCATACTCATTGTTTGAGGGTAAGTTAACAAGAGTTGCTTGTATCACTCGTATAGATTAAGGTTTCTAAGTTTGATTTCTCTGCACCCTTTCATAACTGTGATGTGGTGGGTCTGGAGAACAATTGGATAGGAAGGTACTTATCCATTTTGATTTCCCCAATAATGTAATATTCTTGGAAGCACAGATTGGATTCACTTTGGATCTTAGTTTGACATTGCAGAACTAAGGAAATTAATGAGAAGTGTATTTTGTATATGTCTCATGAGTGAGGATTAGTAACAGACCAACTGACCTTCCATTTCATTATTTGAAAGGTGCATAATTTTGGAAATCGTAAATCCAATTGGTTTAATAATATTTGTTATTTATTTAGGATTAAATTTTTTTTTCAGGGATGGCTGGTACAGTTTATTTCCTAGCTGATATACTGGAACCTCACTCGTCAAAGTTCCCAGCATTTGAGTGAGGCAAAATTACTTTGTTGCTACTCTTAAGAGTGAAAGGATCGATTTTCCATTAGATACACAAAACCCCTTACTGAGGAGACAACATTGTGAGTCTCGGACACAGATAGATAATTGGTAATGATCTATCTTATGCAAAGTGTATTTGTACTATTTTCCCATTTAATGGAATTAGTGTTAATTGAGAAATGTAAATGTTAGAGGTAAATTATTCACCTTTAGTTTTTGTACTTCAATTCATGGGTGAGCATTTTCAAATAAAAGTAATTTTATGTTCAGTACTTTTCTCAACCATTCTTGTTTTGATTATTGTACTACCTATAACTATCAGTTCCATGGGTTAATACATGATAACCAAAATGGCAGTGCATATGATATCTTAAACAACAAATAAGAGATTTATTATTCCTCAGTGACCACAAAAGGATTTTTTCCTGTTTGTTTCTCTTAAGCAGGAAGAGTGTTTAAATCCATCCTGAACTGGTACCAAGAGAGTAGGATAAAAGAACTTTGATTGGATAAAAATGAATTATCAATAGCAAGAAAATTGTGTGACTAACAACTACTTTTCAAGCATTTATTGGGCCAGATCAGCTAGTGTTTCTCTGTGTCATGGCTTTCTGTTTTCTCAGGGTTTTAAAACCGTTTAAAACCAGAACACTACAATGTACTGTTTGTGAATGGGTTTTTAAAGATGAAGACCTTACAAAGTGTTTAATTTCATGCCATTATCTAGAAGGTATTCATACATCAATATTATTTTTATTAAATGTTTTTCACTGCAAGTATTTTTTGTTTATTGATACCAAGTCTATCAGCTAATGAGACAATCATAGTCCACAAGTGTTCCATGTCATTACATTTGATCTTAAATGTCTCTACTGGAGTTTGGCTACAGTTGAAGAATTTTTCAGGCAGAGCTGGGTCTTTGGAACATCTTTTTCCTACAACATTCTCACTTTGCTCACATCTACTTCTTAAATCATCAATGCCATTAGTACTACCATCTTGTGTATCAAGCATTTCAAATGCTACCAACAATTCATGTTCATTTACAGTTCTACCTTTAGTTACCACTTTATGATGAGTCAGAGAGGCACCTCCATTTTCTGATTTTTCCAAAGAACATTGATCCTGTGGGTTTATTTGGTCCTGTATTGCATCTTTCATATTTTGTGTACTTAGAGCCTTGTTCTCCATTTGGCAGACCAATGCTAGTAGTTCTGTGATTTCATTTGTGATGTTTGGATGAAGTACTTGCACAGAATTTGAACTCACAAATAACATCAGAGCACTGTTTTATGAATAAAAGGAATGAGAAAAGTGAAAAGAAAGAGCAACTTAAGGATTTTGTCTTAAGATGCATGGATGTGTTTTACCTCAAAACTCCTCTCAGCTTTGCCCATTCCCTTGAAACACTGGCTCCATAAATAAATCCGTCATTGAAACCTTGTTGTAAACTGGCTTCTTTTCCTGATTCCATACCCTCACGGTACCCAGCCTTGAAAAAAAATATTTAGTTTAAATATGCCCTTCAAGAAGATGCAAATTCCGAGACAAAGAGCTGAACATACAATTCTGTTTCATTTTCCCTTTGGTCATTATTGCAACAGACATCTAAAAGCGCAAAAAACAAGGATTGAAATACTCAGATCAAAAGTCAGGAACAAAGGTCTGCGAGAGGTCTGAACTGACACGTTTGATTGCAGCATTAAACGAAATTGCAATGCCCTATCTCGAATGTTACTGAAAAGTGAACCAAAATAAGTCACTGTTATGCTGAAAATACCTTGATGTAACCCGTCTGTGAGATGAAAACACTGAATTTATAACGTATCAGAGCTGTTTTCCCTCCAAATGGACTCCTGGAAACAATGGGAAAGTGCGAGAAGGAAAAAGAGGAATAGGAAAAAGCGAGAAAAGTGGCTAAGAGGAAACTGCTAGCTGTAGAAATACTAACACCGATACCCAAAGGGGAGAACCCCTAGAATATTGAGCCACATTAAGCCGTAAATTAAAACGTCACAAGTCTCATCTCAGAAACTTCGGGAACTTGAGAATTTGTCAATGTACCTTCGAGAATTTGTGCAACTTTCTTGGATCGATCAAATTTTGAAATAAATTTTCAGTGCATCATTAACATATGAATTACCGCTTCCTGACTTTGCCTCATCTTTCTGTAGTCCATATCCGTACACTCCATATCCTGCAACACCTCTTCCTGTTCGTCCAACACATCCGCCATGTTGGAAATGAGAATTAACATAATTAATGCGTCGTGCACATGCGCAAAATAAATTGCCTGAATGCCTCCACAATCCAAAATGGCGCCGACGACGGAGCAAAACATCATTACCACAATCCAATTTCATCTCGCTCCCTGTTTCACGAAAATGCGTTCCTTATAAAAGCTATTTATTACAGTTCATATCTCTTTTGTTTTGCCGGTCTAGTTGTCAATTAAGTGAACAATGTAGTAGCATTTCAGCCCAGACTTCTTATCAAGATGCCCAGTTCCCGTAATGAGAAGGAATTGAGCCCTTCTGCTCGAAATCATAGCAAAGGCAAAAAGTCATCCCATAAGCAAAAGAAACATAGAAAACGCCCCAAAACTGAGGACTCGGTTGAAAAGCTAAAGGAGCAATACGAAGATATTTCCTCCGCTTCAGAAGAAACCGAACAGTTGCCTGTTCAAAGGTACAGCTCGATCTCACGGAGCCCCTCGCCCGTTGCGTCGAAAAAGTCGAAGCCTAGTGTCAAACGAAAGAAGTCGAGAAAGGATAGCACTGTACAAGGATCAAGCAAAAAACGCAAGAAACATGGCAAGTCGCCCATGAATCTTCCGCCAATGGAGGGAAGCGCTTTGTCGCCAGTTTCTAGGTCGAAATGGAAAGACGTGACACCGTCTCCTAAAATGCTGTCGAACAGGGATACCTTTGAGCACTATTCGCCTGTGCGTACTTCATCAAAGCGGCGAGGTTCTGAGTCGCCTCATGTTCCAAAAGCTTACCGACCAAAGTCACCAAGCAGGAGTCCTATGATGAATAGGAAAGTTTGGTCAAGGTCTCCTTTCAGCCATAGATCAAGATCACCATCACCTCCTCCCTATGGATCAAGAGGGAGGTCACCCTCGAGAACGTTCAGATCTCAAGAGAGATCTCCATATCGCTCACCTATAGGACAATTCTCACCATATGACAGCCGTAGCAGGTCTTACATGCCCTACAGCAGGAGACGAACACCCTCACCATATGGACGTCATTCGCCATCACCACCCTTTAGGAATTCAGGTTTAAGGAATAGGAAGAATCAAAGGAACCCTAATAGACCACGCAGCAGGTCTTTGTCACCACCTCCACCAGCACGCTCCAATAACAGAAGTCGCACACCTCCAAAGAGGACCCAACACCGTAGCACACCTCGAAGCCCAAATGTTCATCAATCAGGTCAAAAGTCTGGAGGCAAGAATGCATCGTGGCAGAGATCAAGTTCTTCAAGAAATGACACCCTAAGGAAAGTAGATGATAAGTCTGTAAGTCGAGACTCTAGAGATAAAATATCAACTACCAAGGATTATTTATTTAAGGACAAAGGCAGAGTTGATACTGTAGATGGAGTGAGCAAGAATTCAGTGAAGGATGTCATCAACAAATCAAAACAAAATTTAGAACCTAGTGCAAAAGATTCCCCAGTAGATGTCCTTGCAAAGGAAGCAAATTTTACTTCATCTAGAGTTAAGACAGAATGTGAAGAAACCAAAAAACCAACTCAAAGTGAATCAATACCAGCTCTTCCGCTTCCTCCTTTGAATGAACCAGTGCCACCACCTCTTCCCAGTGAGGAGCCACCTCCTTTACCTCCAGATGAAGAGAAGCCACCACCTCCTCCTGCCCCAACATTACCACCACTACCTTTGCCACCAGAACTTCCAGGTACTCCAGGTGAATCTCCAACTTCATACTCACCACGCTCCCCAGGAGGAAAACTTCCTGAATCTCCTAAGTCAACACAACATTCCTTTCCACCATTACGACCTTTAAAGGATACAGATGCCTCTGTGTTACCTTCAGAGTCAGGACCAAGCAGTCAGAGTGAAACACCACTGTCAACACCAGATACCACTCCAAAGACTCCAGCTGAGAGTGAGTGGGGGGAAAGATGTGTTGACATGTTTCAAATCATTGATCAAGTTGGAGAAGGAACATATGGGCAAGTTTATAAAGCAAAAGACAAGATTACAGGTGTGTATAGGTGGATTTAACACTCAATGAACACTGCTTCGCTGTAAACATGAACTACTTTCAAGTTTTGGCTGTTTTCATAATTAAGTTATCTTTTATTGAGAAGCACTGGACCTAGTTACAGTATACATGATGTAAGTCAAGCAAATTTGGAGCTTTGTTTGACTAATGGTATGAATGTTCAAGTCAATAATTTTATTTTATTTGGGTCAAATCGTCATAGTTCTTTAAGAAAGGTAAACACAAATCCACCAAAACATCCTTAAAACTGAATCCAGTCTGCTAATCATAGGGTTTAAGGAAATGTTGTTCTTGCATTAACAGGGGAACTGGTTGCCCTGAAAAAAGTACGGACTGACAATGAGAAGGAAGGTTTTCCTATCACAGCAGTGAGAGAGATCAAAATCCTTCGACAGCTGAATCATCACAATATTGTGAACTTGAAAGAAATTGTCACAGACAAACCAAATGCTCTTGATTTCCGAAAAGATAAAGGTCAGTAAGATATTGATTCTGGTGTTTAGGTTTTCTTCTTTCAGTACACGTTCTATACAACATTTTTTTTAGAAGAGTGGAATTGTGACAATGTTAATAACTTTGGAATTAATAAATAGTGCCAATGAGTTATTGATGGATTTGTTTCATAATTGATGTCAGGTGGGTTTTATCTTGTGTTTGAATACCTGGATCATGATCTGATGGGTGTGCTGGAATCTGGTTTGGTTCATTTTACGGAAGATCACATCAAGTCTTTCACAAAACAGCTTTTAGATGGCCTCAGCTACTGTCATCGCAAAAATTTTCTTCACCGAGACATTAAGTGCTCCAATATTTTGCTGAGTAACAAGTATGTATTGTACATTTGAAAACTTCCTTTCTATGTGACAAGCAGGCAGTAACAACTTTTGTACTTACTCTCACTTCATTGTAACTTGTATTATTATCACAGACAAGTTAATTTCTTAGTTTTGTTTTATAACATTTCTGACTAGTCAGTTGATATTTTATGATAGTAGCACTCAGTAGCACAAAGAATTTATCTATGATTTCTCTCATTGAATTGAGGTTACTAGCCATTTATGAACATACAAGATTCCACCATGAAGAGTTTTTAAAAGCCAACATTTCCAGCATTAGCCTTTAGTCAGAAATATGGGCTGATGCTCAAAATGTCAGCCTTAGAAACTCTTTCCATCACCAATTTACTGTAGCAACTTAGTAGATAGAACTAAAGTATTTTGTAATACCCATCATCTATACAGTACCACAGAAACTTACACCTCTATTCATTTATGAACTCACTGTTGTTAATCTGCTTTGTGTCTCAAAAATGTCTGCGTCTTTGCAGGGGAGAAATAAAACTGGCTGATTTTGGATTGGCAAGACTGTATGAGGCAGATGAAAGGTGCAGTCTTATGATGCACTTTCAATTCTTTCTTTCCCAAGATCAGATTAGTAATTGTCCCTACTGATGTCCATCCATTAGACAAAAAAATCTGGTGTTATAACAAACTAACATGCACTAGCTGACAAGCTGTAAGTTTCTTTCAGACAGAACACAGCAGTTCTCCCTTCATGTCAAGCCAGCTTGCATGGCCTTTCTTTAGTACCCTTCAGTTGCCTGAATAGCTATCAACACTAAAAGTATTTCTTAAGGAAGATAATGTCTGGAAGAAGATACATACTTATGTTTCATTGGAGAAGTACTAAATTATTTGCTCAAAATAACTCTTGTTGACAGTGAATGGATGTTTCCAAGTCATACAAACTGTGATCTTTTAAAAATTGAAAACTATATAAACCTGATTAGGTATCCTTAGTGGTCTTTCTTTTGGCATTGGTGTAAAAATTACTGGTATTTAGTTATGGAAAGCTATTGCAGTGAATGTCCTTTTTCATACAAAGACACTTTTTTTTAACACATCTCTGAATATAACATTTCTTTTTCTCTTTCATTTCAAACTTTTGATACATTTAGGAGGCCATACACAAATAAAGTCATCACATTGTGGTACAGACCACCAGAACTTTTGCTGGGAGAAGAACGCTATGGGCCTGGGATAGATATCTGGAGTGTGGGGTATGTGGAAAATACTACATAATGCCATTTAATTTGATTACAAAACTGGATTAGATTTGGTACAGTATATATGTAGTGCTGACAGTTATTAAACCAAGGCTCTCTCTTTAAGAACCCTTATACTCACTAGTATTATTGATATTGATATTCATCTAATTTCATTACGGAATCGCGCCCATTGAAAAGCGTCGCCCGAGAAAAGTGGGGTACCCATGATGCTTTGCGGGCGCAATGACCTAGGAATGAGGTTGCAAACGCTCACCGCCAACTTCGGTCGCTTTAGATCTGAATTGACAAATTCCCAAACGGGAGTTGTAAAATTTCGCTTTGCGTCCGTTTAGAGACAATGGAGATACAATTGGAGCAATTAGCATTGTTTCAAAGTGACGAAATGCTCTTTTCGTCGGTAAAGAGCGAGGGCCGCGTTTGCATATCAAAAGAGCGTGAAGTGTTCATCCGTAAGCTTATGAGCGTGAGCGTGCACCTACGTGGAGCGGGAATCTACAACGTATACTTAAGCTTTTCGAAAAGTAATTAGACTACCGACGTGTTATCTGAAACTGACGGCAATAACGGGCCAAAAAGGAAGGTAAAATTCCGCACAGCCCCACACTACATTATACGTTCAGTTCTTGGATAGAGTGACAAAAACAATACTTTACCATTGGGAAAACAGATTTGTTTTACGATAGTATGGGGCAGTACGGAAATTTTACTAAAAGGAATATTTCTGTGATGTTTTGCTTTCTTGGCGAAGTTGATGGTCGAACCTCGCAAATCTGCCGCATTTGAGTCTTAACACAAATTGAAAACCCGGCATTTGAAAGGTAATTTAATTTTACATCTGACCGATTTTTAAACAATATAACCTAATCAAGATAACGCCACTAATTACGTCTATTCTTCTTCGATGAAAAGCGCTACGTTTCGGTTGTCTGCACAAGAAACAATACTTTCGAACACTGCGTACACGGGGGATTACATGATTGACAGTCGGATTGACAGGCCTGCGTGAAGTTACGCATGCTCTCTTTCTCTTTTCTAGCTTATTTGCATTTTCCCGTGCGACGTTTTTCAATGGGCGCGATTCTGTAATGCCTGCTTTCAGTCCTCTCTTTTTATCTTTGTCTATTTTCTATCAGGTGTATACTGGGGGAATTGTTTACCAAGAAACCAATATTTCCTGCATTGCAGGAGATAGGTCAGCTGGAACTAATCAGGTGAGGAAGGGAATCGTACATTGCTTAACCTACAAATAGATTGAAACACCATGGCTGTTTTTACCTTTGTATGAAAAATTCCACCTTTTACCCCTACATGAAATATGCAACCACCACTCCTATGAACTTTGAACTTCTTTACTCCAAGACTATCTTTGCTTCTCTAAAATATTAAAGAGATAGGAAAGGGCTTCTTGATTTAAATAAAATTATGAATGGAATGATGCAGTTCAAGATATACTTGCATCATTTGCCATTGTAAGATTGAGAAACCAGTGTTTTTTTGTTAGTTTTTGCATGTGAATAAACTTAGCAAGTATTTTGCAACTTGTTTCTGAAGATAAGTTTAAAAATAATAAAGTAATAGTAATGTGTAAACAATTCCAAAAATATTTAATGACCACATAAGGTAATTCTTAGATTTTTTAATTAATGTTAGTGATACCACTGACTAGAATTTGTTTCTCTCGTTGTTTAGTCGTATCTGTGGAACACCAACACCAGCAGTATGGCCTGATGTCATCCATTTGCCACATTTTCACACAATGAAGCCCAAGAAACAGTACCGCAGAAGAGTGAAAGATGAATTTTCTTTGTGAGTCACCTGTGATAGATGTCCTGTGTGTTTCTTGCTGCCTTTAGGATTTTGATATTATTGTTCATAGCATCCTAGTTTCTCTCCTTCGAATCATTGTACTGAATTTATTCTGCTATACCCTTTCAAGTCTTTAGTTTCCTATTTCAGCCATGCTCAGCCATGTTATTTCAGTGTGATGTTCTTTTCCTTCTAAAAGGTGTTTAGTTACACTGTTATTTCTTGTCATATCGTGTGTTGTCTTTTTTAGCTGAAAAAGATACATTTGAGCTTTTTTTTTTACTTTATCTTTCACTGAGTATTAAGGGAATGTCTTGTTTGTCTCAAAGTATGCCAGGTGATGCATTGGACCTGTTTGACCGCATGTTGACACTGGATCCTTCAAAGAGGATCACAGCAGAAGAATCACTACAACATCCCTTTCTGAAGGATGTTGTTTGTGAGAACATCAGCCCACCAAGGTACTCTTCTTTCTTTTTTGCTCTAGTAACCTACTCTCAGGGATCAATGAAGTTATCTTACTGAACTAACAAATCCACAGAAAAGTATTTTCCTTCATGAACTTCCTTAAATTGTTCTTTTAACTGAGAGAATTGGTTTTTGTAATTAGTGTGGAATAAAGTACTTGATACTTAGTGACATTTTGTGTTCTTTCAGCTTACCAACATGGCAGGACTGTCATGAGATGTGGAGTAAGAAACGCAGACGCAAAGGAGAGGGGAAAATAGCTGAGGATGCAGGCTCAGCAAAACAGACAAGGAGAGAGTCTGTTGTTGACAGCCTGGAAAATTCCAACAGTCTTCCTGCATTATCAGCAACAGGAGAGCAAGAAGAGAGATCAGTAGAACCACTTGAGTCTTCAACAATTCTGCGCAGACAGAGCATTGAGACAGTTGAAATGGAAACAGAAGAAACTTCTGCTGATGCTTATTCCACACAAGATGATCATGTGTTCTATGATAGAGAAGAAACACATCAGTATTCATATGCTGAAGACAACCCTAAGTCTACTTTCTTGCAGGATTCATATTATCATGATTACCCAAGGGACTATCCAGGAGAATCGAGCAACAATTCTCACAATGCCTCTGTTGATGAGTTTTCTCATACCTATTCAAGAGAAAAAAGTGATAACAGCAGGGGAAATAGGTACTCGCAGTCCAATGTGCATTATGAACAGTTGTCTCCTCCCACAGATCAAGAAAGATGTTCCTTTTCTGATCGGTTTAGACATTACAGTTATGGAGAGGGAGGTAGTAACAAAGATTACAATAATTCCTCCTCACGATCATATAGGGAGGAGTCAGCACCTTATCTTTACAGAGAACATTACTCAGAAAGCTTTTCTCAAAAGCGTGAAGTCTTTGATTACAGTGATACACGTTATGATCGCCTCCCTGTTACTGCTGGAAACAGAGGTTCCAGTCCACAGCATGGTGTGGAGTCCTATCAAACATGGTGATAAAGAATTTGGCAGATGGTTTTTTTCTTTGCTTGATGACCTTGAGAATACTGGTGCTACATCAGGAGATAGTCATTAATACTGCTCTACTAGAGACTTGTATATAATATGATATAATTTTATTTTTAAGAAACAACTGCTAATTATCTTGGTAAAAGAGAGGCTGTGTCGTTATCTCACCAGTATGTAATTTTTTTACAGACCAAACTATCATGTTACCACTGTAAGCAGCACATTGTAAGCTGGTTGATTTGATAACATGTCTGACCACTGCAGGACTTTTATAAGTCAATAAAAGTTGATCTGGTTATTCATCTGATTCTTCAGTAGACTGTTGCTGTAATTCTCATTATGGGTTTTTGACCTTGTCACTTTCTAGTCTTTTTTGTTCCCTTCCCTTATTTTATGGCTGGACCCCAGATTAAGTCATGAATGCAAAATAATTAAGTGACACAGACATCATCCTTTACAGTATTACCCATAGGAAGGAGAATATGACAAACATTATACATACTGATGAGGATAGGCTTCTGAAAGAAATGTGAAAGTGTTACCCTCAAACTTTTATTTCCTTGATTGAACACCAGGGTTTTAATGGGCTGTGAATTCAGCTGCTTCTATTCAGCCCACAGCTGTATGGTGGGCACCAGCTGGAGGAGGGATTTGTGGTTTTTTAGTGCTGCAGAAAATTTATTCAGTTAGCTGAAGTCACTTGGCACATTTTCTTTATTAGGTAGGATATTTAGTTGTTAAATGCTAATAAAACAGAGATTTTCTGATTTGAGAGTTAGGTAACCAACACATGAACGGCAGATGTGGTGGCAAAATAATTTATTTTACATTCTAGCCATTATTGTCTCTGAAATACAGCAATCATTTTGTGGCATGATAAAATTTTGTTAGACTTGAGCAGGTAATTTTACCAGCACTATACATGGTCATAACATTAGGAATCCCACTTTGTTCAAGTATACTTTGGAGCTGTGTTTACTTGAAGGGACTTTGCTTTGTGATCCTTGTGTTCTCTGAACCTAAATTTTAACTTGAATTGCTGTTATAGAAATAAACGGCTCATACCCAGCATAGCTCCTACTGCAAACAATACTATGCTTACCATTCACAAGCATTAACACTTCTGTAAGCTTTTAGCTTGTCTATCTTTCATAAGAACATTAAAAATGTTTACCACACAGAATTCGCATATGTGAATAATATCATTGTCCAGGAAGAGTGAGATTAGAGAATAAGAGAGGCTGGTGGCATCTGGCTCAAAGCAAAGACTACAATTGAAGCACAACTGACAGTTTCCTTCTAGACCTGACTTGGGGTGCATATTACTCTTCTCAGTTTCAATGAATACTTTCAAATGATATGAATGCTGTGGGGGATCACTCACTGAGCTTAAAGAAAATATTTGATAACTTCAGTGACTATCAAGGCAACTGTTTAGAATGGTCGTTAAATGAGTTGTGGTTTGTCATCCTGGTAACTAATACTTCAAAGGAGAATTATAATTGTTAGTCTCATGATGTAGTCACCTTGCACATGGATTGCAACAATCTGACTGCATACTAATAGTCTTCCTCAGGTCTGCAAAAGCCATGATCTGCATTTGAAGTGACCACATCATGAGAAATGATTATATTCATTTTTGAAGTGTTTAGAATTGTCCTTGCTTCTTCAAGAATATTAAGAAGAAGCAAACAGCTATTTAGAAATAACTGCTGTAGTGATGATAATCACCTTGCATGGGGTAGTAATTATAGCAAGGTATGGCACAATCCTTAGCCAATTAGAGAAAGGACAGCTCTATCATCACTAGAGAAATATTGCAAAAAGGGTGGTCATTCCTAACTCTGGTGAATACAATAGAAATGAAGTACTATGATTCGTCTTGTGGTGTTGTCACTTCCTAAGAATTGACTAAACCACAAGACAAATGATAAAATGTCACCTGAGTAAAATAAACATACCAGAGAAGCAGAATCAAGAAAACTGACTATACATTGAAATGACAAACTGCTTTAATTCCAACAAGATGCCATGATTCAGTTGCAACAGTAAGCTAAATGACATTGAGTGGTCTGCCACAGTGTGTTAAAAAACTAAAATGTCTCGAGTCTATGATTTGAATTTGCAATTCAAGACAACAAAAATTATTTACAATGTCACTGTTATTTATGAACACTTTGTAACACAATAATTGAAAACTGTCTTCATATTCATCTCAATACTCTCAGTTCAAGCTCTTTTAATTTGGTACTTTTTCTCAGCAATACAACTAATGCCCTGAATTTTTTTTTGAGAATACATGATGATGACCAAGGCTGTCAAGTCAAATCATTCCTAATTTCATCGCCAGAATCCTCCTGTGTAATAGGAGAAAAATTTACTGGTAACTTGGAAATTTAAAGATAAATCAAGATGAATTTCTTCCTTGAAAATAAATGTATTCAATGTAATACACAATATTAACATATTCTCCTTTGACCAGTTTCAAACTCGTTAAGTACCAGGTTGAAAATATAACAATATTTCAACAGGGAAGAAAGTAGTAGTTTCCGCAGTCGACCACCCCTTCATGAAGGAGTAGGTAAAGAACTGGGTCACAGATACAAAGTTCGCATACGAATTTACAATATTTCAAGTAAGTTGGCCATAGATTTACAAAATTACACACTTCTTTTTCTTTTTTCTTTTATTGTCCTTCACTGGTTTCAAGCCGTCCTCTTTCCGCGATTTAATTTCCCTCATAAGATCAAAGAATACTTTGTCAACGTTCGCTTTTGTTTTAGCTGACGTTTCAACAAAAGCTACGTTCCACTCCTTCGCCTTCGACTGAGCTTCGTCGGCTGTTACTTGCCGTTTATCTTCTAAATCAGCCTTGTTTCCAACCAGCAAGAAAGGTATATGTTCGTCGTCTCCCTTCACGCGAAGAATCTGCTCTCTAAATTCTGATGTCGCTTCAAATGACTCTGGTTCAGTGATTGAGAACACGCAAAGAAATCCTTCCCCGCTCCGAAAATAATTATCACGTATAGCAGCATAATCTTCCTGTCCTGCTGTGTCTAAAATGTCTATTTGACACTCTTCTCCGTCTAAAACAACTTTTTTCCTATAACTGTCGGCTTTGGTGGGCTCGTAATCTTCAACAAACTAAAATAAATTATAGCAAAATAGATTTCAATTATCCACTAGCTTGATGGGCATGCGAGAAAGTATACAGTTCAACTCTCTCAAAATCAGAGAATTATAAGTTTGATTTAAAATGTCATCCACTGGCAGAGCATACATAAATCGCTCACTGTAAAATAGACAGAAAACCCCTACGTTGTGGGTTAGCTGCTTCAGAGGACAGAAGAGTTTAAGCGCTCCTAACACCCACCTCATCATACATGAACTGCAGGGTAAGTGCAGACTTTCCAACCCCACCACTGCCGACCATGATCACTTTATGTAACCCCAATTGCTTTTCCTTCGCATTCGACATTTTGGCAAACTTTTTGCCGATAAAACTTGCTGTAAATCTATTTGAGCATGAACCGATCACACACCGCTCCTTCGCTCTACAGAGTTCAACACCCTTAAATTTAGCAGCCGCGCCTGTTCGTCAGTGATGGTGGAAGCAAAACCTAACCACGTGACACAAATGTCATTTCTATTTGAGGAAAGCGATAACACGTCCATTATGGAAGAGGACGATATAATTCAACTTTGATGCTATCACGCGAGTTTTCATCTTTGATTCCTCTCTCTCTCTCTTTAAATGTCTGAAATTCGTGTATTCCCTGTACATTGTGCAGGGGAAGAGTGTGTGGAACAAGGGGCTGGACAAATCGATCTCAAATTCGATTACCAGCTACTATAAATTGTAGATTCCAAGGTACTTTCACCTTGAAGTATTACAAAACAGACAAAGATAAAAATCTTGTGACCGATGTGTCAGGATCAAGTAATGATGGCTTTCCCTAAATTTATTTTAAAAAACTTAAGGAAATTCAGTGGGGCACATTTTCTTTGATGGTTTAAGAACCAGTACCAAAGATTTCAGGATTAAGATTAATACTTGTGGATCGTGAATGGACTGAAATTAAAAGAACAAATATGAATAAGCAAAAATACTCCTCAAGGGTTTACCCACAAAAGCAAAGTCTTACTCAAAAGAAAGATCTCGACCCCTCCCTATCTCAAAAGTTTTAAGTCCTTAGCAGCAATGCTGATGTTGTTTGACAAATAATGACTTAAGCACAGAGAATAGGGGCAGTGCTAACCTTAGTTTTCAAATAACACGTGCAGGGGAAGTCATTACTTTCAACTTCATGTGAATTTGTCCTGTATTCTCTCTCTATTATCATTAAGAAAATTGAACACACACAAACATTTAGGCAATTATACAAGTCTGGATTCATAAACAAATTTTAAAATAGCCACTTCAGTCATAAAACTGTTATTGACATGGGCCCAGTAAATGCTTTGATCCATTAAAGTAATTCATTGTCTGTAGTTTGCAAAGACCAAAAATGTTAGTGTTCAGTCACATTGGTTTTCAATCATTATCTCAGTTAAAACAACAGTTTACATGACCAGAAACTCCAGAAAAAAATTAATAAAATATTCAGGACCAGAGCAAGATCAAGGTTGGATTTAGGTCCCTAAACATCATTGTGTACAACAACTGATGTTAATTCATGATCAATAACTGACGAAAAAGTGACCAGGAATCATCCCTCTATAAAGGATTTAGCCTTCTCTAGTAAATCTGCTTCACTGGCAGTATAATAACTTTCTTTCCAGATCTCTTTTAGTTTTCCAAGCATTTTTCCAAATTCTGGTCCAGGCTTGACTCCCAACTTCTTCAAGTGTCCACCAGTAATAGGAAACACTGGAATGCACCATGTGTTTATTTCCTGTGCATGATCATGTCTTCCCAGATAGTGCAGTGTTTCCAAAACATAACTTTTAATCAAACTCCTTACATGCTTATAAGGTGCTGACACTATTATGTCTTGATATGGCTTAAGAACATGCTCATGAGGCTTGGGTCCCCTGTGCTGAGTTACAAATTTGCCCAAGGCTTTCTCTGCATTAGACAGTTTCCACTTCCTTGCAAGGTTTTCAGCCTCCTCTGCAGTGTTGACAAGGGAACAGAGCAGAGTTTCAGGTTGAAGTGGATGGATGTTATGTTCCTTCCATGCTCTAGTCAATTCCTGCATGCTCTCTTTAGAATAAGTAGGCAGGCCTGAAATTAGACAACAACACTTACTTTAGTCTAACTTTAAAGACTAGAAAAAATGTATTTATGGTGTAGGGCAATCGTCTTAAGGCAAGTTAAAAATGCTTGCCTGACAAGCCATCACGACTTCATTACACACAAAATGATAAGTAAGTAGAAGTGACTATCATTAAATATCAATCATTAGTACATATTAAAACAGTGGATAACATTGAAGGTGCACTATGATTGGCTTCACAAACTCTGAATATCCTTTGCTATTCACCCCTGAGCAATGGGTGCAGGATTTGCACCCAAAAGTATTGTAATCAAGGCAGTAATAAATGAGTCAAATTCATCTTTTTGTGCTATATTATCTTGCAGCTTTAGTATATACTCAGTGTTAGTGGTTAATGATGGATATTAACCTTGTGGCTTTGCCACAAGGTAAATATCCTCCACTACCATGCTCCACTTTAGCAAATAGTAATTAATCATCTATATCAGTATCTAGACCTCAGCTCAAGATTAGATTTGCAGTTTTTGAATTTTTACCTTGTTCATATTTTTTTATTTATTTTAACTAGTATTTCAAAGCACCAAAGACAAATTAACACTTAGGCCAGTTTTATCAAAGCATCAAAAATTGGACAGTCTGATACATGGCACTGCATTTATCTTTTCAAATGCAGACACTTGATGTGGCTGCTGTATGAGTTTCATGACCCATTTGACACAAACTTATCCTAGTTTGTTACTTCTCTTTGATAAGTTGTTAGTCCACTGCATGTAACCCAGGCCCTCAGGAATTCTTCAAAGTTTCCCTACCAGTTTGATTGTACCCATTTACACTCCTGGGTGGAGAGAGACAATATGAGAGCTAAGCATCTCACTCAAGAACACAATGCACTGGCCTGGCCAAGGTATAAACCCACACCTTTCAACCATGCACCCAGCACACTAACCACTGACCTTATTACACCTTCCCCAAGCCCATACACTTTCTTTCTGTATCTATGGAGTTTGACTATCTCACTCACCAATGCACTGAGAAACATTAAGCTCATACATATGATGCAAAATACTTGGTGTGTAATTTCCAGTCAAAATTTTTGAGACTTCCATCCAAATCCGTTCAACAGCAATCTTCTTCAATCCGTCTGCGCATTCCCGTATAACATTTAATGTTGAATGGTCATGGTTGTCTTCTTCTGAAGCTATTCTTCCATAAAAACGAAAGTATCTCAGAATTCGAAGGTAATCCTCCTTTATTCGCAACTCTGGATCACCTACGAATCTGACACGACGGTTGGACAGATCTTCCTTTCCGCCAAAATAGTCATACAAACTTCCGTCTAGTCCCAAACTCATGGCATTGAAAGTAAGGTCACGCCTCTCTGCATCTAATTTCCAGTTCTGGGTAAATTCTACTTTTGCATGTCTGCCATCAGTTTCAGCATCAATCCGCAAAGTCGTGACTTCAAAGTCTTGCTTGTTAACATGAGCCGTGATGGTGCCGTGGTTTAGGCCGGTCTCAATGAAGTGTATATTGTGTTGTTTGAACAGCTGAATCATCTTCTCCGGAGTAGCATTTGTTCCAAGGTCAACGTCCTTCGGTTGCAATCCCAAAAGAATGTCGCGCACTGCTCCACCAACTATTCTTACATCGTATCCATTCTGTAGGAATGGTGCGGCAACAGAGTGCAATTCTGGAGAGAGAACGCTTTTGAACTCGGGCGAGTCCAGTATTTCCACGGCATTGTCAGACATTTTCTCTCGGACTGGATGAAACAAATTTCGCGAAGTACCCAAAAATTGTTTTGAAATAGTTATTTTTATCAGGTTGTTCAGACGAAACATTAGTTTGGAGTTAGTAACAAACATGAAACTGTTCCAGGCTTACTAACAGTTCAGACCGCCATCTTGATACTGCCGCTGATATTAGGCAAACTGGCCAAGTATGCGTCACGATTTATCAAGAATTATCAAGGGTGTCGAAGGTTCAGGGGATTTCATGTTTTTAGCATGCAGTTTCGTTATACAAGCATCCTTACTTTATCAGCAAACTTTAGAAAAAGCCTTTCTCGAAAGCATCCTAACAATGACCTTGAAGGGCTAACGAAGGGCTTACGCTCGAAATTAAATGTCAGCATTGAAACTCTATGGTGCCGAAATTATTGTCAACTAACTGTAATAAAACCAAAATTATCAAGAAATGATGGCTTGATTAGTAAGTGAAAAAAAAAACGCAATCAAAGGTGATAAGCCAAATAAACCATACAAAATGCGATATTTAACTATGACTATTTGTGTGTCTACTGATTCATTCAGTGTCCTGGTAACAAAGTACAGCATTCCTATCGGCATTCATCCCTACGATTAAAATTATTAATAATGGTAATAGGACCGAGTGGAGTCCAATTCGGTCTGTGATCATACGAGTGACTAACAAAAACGGACGACCGCGAAGCGGGAGTCCGATTTGTCAATCACGAGTATGATTACAGACAGAACTGGACGACACAAAGTCCTCAGTTACCAATTGATCAGAACTGTCACAATTTCCGAAAACAACATATACATTTAGGACAAATATGTGCAGTAGAGACAATGTCTAAGTAAAAAATTCCTCAACTTTGGAAATTCCACAATTTTTTTAGGATAAGTGATTGCTGCTATGGTTATTGCGATCAATTCTGTGATTGGTGGATTTGACTGAAAGGACTAAATATGATTGGCTGCTTCAACTGTCCGATTACAGGTGTCCGATTATAGCTAACTGTCCGAACACAACTCTACAGGATGATTTGTGAAAAATAAAGTATTATCCGGAAAATAAACTATCCCTGGTGTGGAAAGTGTGGATTGCGACTATCGGGTGTGATAGAAACACTAGATAATTCACTAAAGAGAAATGGGAGTAGAGAGCGTGATGCATGGATTAATAAAAAAATAGCCACAAACTTGCTGTTAGGTGTAAGCGGCCAAAAGACGGTTGTGAGGGAGGTTTACAACAATAACACCATCTTTGTAAAAGCTAACATCACAAAATTGATGTTTCGTCCCACAACTTATTTCGCATTTTATCCCAGCCTTCCCTGAAAGTTCATTTTTTAGCTGTTTCTCGAGATCCTCCCTCGGAATAAAAAATCCATTCGAAAGCCTAAGAATTTTTGAAGAATGGTAGCTTGCTTCTTACATCTTTACAATGTCATCTGTAGACTTCACCTTTCTGAGGCCGTTTTTATCAGTCAGGATTTCCTCTGCCCGTCCCATGGATAATTCGGTCTTCTCAACAAGCAACTCACTACATTAACAGCCGGATTAAACTCACACTTCTTCTTTCACCCAAATCAACTTTATAACCGAGCCTG